CATATTAAAATTAACCAGTCCACACACAATCACTTAAAACAGATTTGTAACAAATGCGGAGCATATCAGAAAAATGAGATTATCATCTCCCCGGTATAAAACAAAGACTTCTTAGCTAATAGACTGAGTCCAAAATACTGCACTTTTACACTTTTTGAATTTAAAATCCATCCTGAATATTAGGAACCAATGGCATGTGTTGGGGCACAGATCTATAATGAGTAAACAGAAATTGTTAGGCAGCCTTTCCCAATTTGGGAATCCACTGGATGTATGGACTTCAGCTTCCAGAATTCCACATTCATTTGGAAGATGTCCAGATTGGGGAGGGCTGTTGCAAGGAATCCCCTTCTGCAACCCAGAAAACTCTCACAAATGCGAGAGTATCTTTAGATCCAAGTCACTATATTTGTAATTAAGGCATCTCTCAACTTATTTGCTTGGAAGCAAATCCAACTGGCAAAATGAATTTTTATATTCAGTTAGATATACTGTAAATCACTACCATGGCTATTTTAATGCATGTCAGGATCTGTTATGCCCACAATGTTTAGCTGTAAGCACATGGTGAATGGCTGCATACAGAGGAGGAAATATCTTTGCTGGAACATTTCTTCAGGGAAGAGCCTTAATGTAATATTCATAGGGATTCTGGAAGGAAATTTTTTTTCTGGTCCTCTGCTCTTTTATAATATAACATCTAGAATTTTATTAATAACTAGGGCAAGTTCTTTCCTGCCACTTTATACACTTTCTATTTATTTAGGAGGCTAATCTGTATGGTCCAATATATTACTCTTGTATATGGGTGGAATACACATGCAGACAATATGCTGGTCAAATATGCTTTACATCATGTGTAGATCTATGGATTTTAAAGCATGTATAAATCTAAATAATTTATGATTGTTGTCAACTCTACATTAATTTAAGATTACTAGTACCAGATGTCTCCATTCCTTGTAGACAGCTTAGTCACAGTGAAAAGGGACACTTGAATGAAACATGTATGGTTTAATACAGTGTTTGGGGTAGACATGCTATAAGACTCTCAGAGATCCGGGAATCATCCATTGCCAACTGAAGGCCTGCATAGTTGTAATCTTGTCCATCAAGCAGACCCCCTTCTAAAAATCTAAGGGAATTCTGCCTCCACCAGATGCAAAAATTTCTGAGATCCCACTTTCTCTCTACTACTTATCCTCCCTAAACAGCTGCATCTGAATGAAGCAACTCATTGCACCTTCCACAGATGTTACCTTCTCATCAGTACTTTGCTTCCAACAAAGTCCCATCCATACTGGTTCTATCAAAAAACAAAACAATCCCACCCCCCTCTCCAGCTCTCTTCACTTGCATTTTGGGCCTTCGGATTAGAGGAGAGCAGCATCTCTAAAAAATTAATTGCAGGATACTAGTATTACAACACTTGAAGATATTAGAACTAATGTGTATTTTACAAGTAGAAAATATTAGTAAAAATCTTTATATAAAGGTATTGATGAAAGCTGCGGCATGATTTTGGGGAGAGGGGAATTAAAGTGGCAAAATATTTTGGCCTGCAGAGTAGATACATGGTGGACTTTATTGTTTCTATAATGGCGTGTAATGCTGTAATTTAACATAGTCCACTTTTATCCAAAATTTACTTGTCCAAATGTTTCCATCAACTATTCCAAGAATAATTTTATTCACATACTACTACTATTACTACTAAAAATGTAGGAACATTGTTGTTATTACTAGAGATGCACATTCCACTCTGATTTGGAGGGATTTCTCTAAATGGTGCAATTAGCCAGTTGTATTCCTCAGAAAATGACTGGATACTTTATGTTTAACTTGGTATAACCCCCATCACCCCAAAGCCACACAACTTAAAAGGCAAAACAAAACAGAAACCATTTTAACAAGTCTTAAGAGTCCTAGATTTCTGTATGAGTCAAATCTTCAAAAGTACCTTAAATAGTTATAATTTTCAACATTAAAAAAAAATACATTGGCACAAAACTATTACCCTATTGCTCTTATTTACAATGAAAGCAACTTGAATTAGAAAACAGGAAATGTTACAATTTTTCTCCCCAGTTTTTAGCAAATAGTAAGAAAATATTTCTCCATAAAATCCGACATCCATAACACTCATCATTTTATATAACATTATGCCTGAAACACATTTTCATGTTTTGTACAGAATGAAACACATACAAAAATATTTTTCCTTTCAGCTTGATGCAGATCCCCATAACCCATTGCAAAGCAATTAGCAGTATTAACGTTTAGGTCATATAAAATATTAGTAAAATATTAATATCATTGTGGGCAGATTAACTTTTTATATTCATTTCAAAGACGTAAGGATACTTTTATTATTCCATTTATCTAATTTAGGCATTTAAATTCCTTTAGTTTGTGTCCTTACCAAGGAAATATAATTTCAAAATGTTTTTGTTGGCATGGATTAGTAACTCATAAATCAGCTTGGAGGGAGGACATTAAGGTGGTTAACATTTCTGACTCTATGTTGGATAAAGTACCAAATACCAAAACTTTGCTACAATAGTGTATCTTGTTGTAGCAATGTTTCTTGTAGATTTAAATTACTTTGGCAATCTTACATACAAATATGAGTGTATGTACAATATTAACAATGCACATTGCTGAACCATCCTAGAGTTTTCCCTTCAACAATCTCTAGTAAGATCATTAAGTGGCTTAATTAATGGTATAGGTATAATTTAATATTTATTTTAATTTGTTCCAAATGCAAGCCAACCTTGCAAATAACCAGCACAATGCTATAATTAAAAATAGTATCTAAGTCAACACACTTTCCAGTTATGAAGCTTCTTTTTAAGCAAACATGAGTAGATTTACGTTTATTATTTGCATTTACCAAAAGCTAGTAGTAAGAACCACCGCATTCCATTAAAAGCTTTACATTGCTTACACCAATGTGTAAGAAAAGTTTAGATGGTTGCAGACTTTGATGCGTGTTCCCACATTGCACTTTATCATATGAAACTCCCTTCTCCAATCTCTTATTTCTACAGAATAGTAACAGCCCATCAAAAGCCTTTTAGTTGTTTTATCTAGAATAACCTTGATTCCATCACTCCATTCATTTTCACTGCTGATGGAAATAGAAGTGCATTTCACATTTGCTTCAGTTTGTGCAAACACAACTATATTTCTAGTTTAGAAAAAGCTCTTTTAAGAATGTGGGGATTTTTGAAAGTCAGATTCAATCTCGTTTGAACCATAAGATGGGTAAAAAAAAGAATAGCTGATCAATTCCTTGATGGTAGTACTGGGGTGTATATGTATGTGTGATGGCAATAAAGAACTATTAAAGAAATATGCTAGATTTGGTTTAAGAAACAATACTGCTTAGCTTACAAGCCTATTTAAAACAAATCTAAAAGATTTTGTGAACTCCTTCATTTCACATCATGGCATAGGGTTATATATTAGCATTTAAACTGACTGGGAATGTCCTCAATGCATAATAGTTGGATTGAGGCATCATGTTACATACAGAAATTTCTCCTGTCCATGGAAGACTCTTAATCTAAGGTGAGGGATCCCTCTGTGGAAGCAGTTATGAGAAATAGATACCTCTATTTCCAGCCCTCTACAAGTTCTAAGAAAGTACAACTGACAGCAGGAAAAGGGGATTTGGAGAAAGTGCCTCCTTATCTACTGACATATCTGTAAGTTTCTCTCACCACAATATAAGTGTGTGTGTGTGCGTGCACATATCTATACATATACACATACATGCTCATTCACTCTTTCTAATCACACACACACACACACACAAATGCATTTTACAAACTTCATATTCTCATTCCATATATTCTGCATATCTTGCTTTTTAAAAATCTGGCAGCAAATCAAAATATTTAACTACAGACAGATTTAAGTTCATAAAGAATTAAATTGTCAACTTAGCTAGGGAAGGATTATTCATTGCCTGGTGGATTTTAACTGCCCTAGAAAACATTTCTGACTGAAACAAAAAACAAACCTATATGCAATCTGTTCAGATACTGCTAATTCCAACGGTATATGCCAATTCCTGAATGAAGTATCATAGAGAGACCCAAAGAGCTTATCGGAAAGCTCTAAGGGACAATGATCAAACTTTTAATGACACAATTTTCTTTTAAAAACATAAACATGACTTGAGAAGCAACAAACATGAACTTGGAGAAAAATAACTATGATAGGGAAATCTCACCTTGGATTTTCACATTTCAAGCAGAAGATCAATACAATTAAAATGGTATATCCTAGTCAAGTTATTACTTTTCAATGCGAGGGAAAAACAGAAGAACAAATTCTAAATCAATATATTGGCTTTCAATTATAAATTGCTAGCAGTTTACCAGTTGAAAGGAATGTGTCAGAATTTCCATTTCAATTCATAGCAGTAAACGAAGGTTATATACTTAATAGGCTAGAGTGCTTTTGCTACCCACAGTAAAAAGTACCCATAGGTACTTAGAGAGAGAAAAGGAACAGTGTTTTTGAGACCCCTTACTGTACCATATTCTAAGCACCAAGGATCATATTTCAAAATGAATCTAATTATGATGATGGCTTCCCCTTGAGGGCCACAACAAGTCCCTTGCCATTAAGACATACACTGTAAGTCTCAAGGCACTTAAGGGGTTAAGACAAAATACACACATTCATTCCCATAGGTAACGCCATCAATGTTTCAGAACACACTGGTGCCATAATCTGCCGAGAAACAGGAACAGAACTAGTAGTACGAAGAATGTTCATATACCAACTAAACAAAATGCTGGTTCAGTGGGCCATTATGCAGCTATTATTGGGTTAGATCATACTGCAACCTTCCGTTAGTAATCAGGTTAGATTCTAGAAGGGCACAGGGAGAAATGTGCTGTTTCAGTAGGCAGTGTATCTAATAGAAGGAATATTGCTAATATTTCACCAAAAGGTATAAAATAACATGACAACTTTAGCATTGGAAGAAATAGCTTTGCATGTATTGTAGTTGCTTTAGAAACAGGTGTCAAAGAACGAAAGTATTCCAAGCTTTTTTTTTTTTTCCTTTTTCTTTTTTGTAGCATTTTGAACAAAAGGGCTATATGGCACTGCAACCAAGTCTGGAAAATTATCCAGAACTCATGGAGCTCATTAACTCTGTGGCTTGTTTGAAGCAAAGCATGAATGGAGTCTTTCAATACAGAAAAATCATAGTGTTTTAGAGACTGATTTTCAGTTTTAACTTAAAGTGCAATAGTGCTGAAGTCCTTTTCAGTTCTTCATTATTTTCAGACATCATTTCTTTCAAGAAACATTATAGCACAAGTACAGTTTGTGTCTTATGTAGAATCTTCTCTGAAAGTTATGTTTTGCTTCCTATTTATTCAGTGATGTCTTTAAAGGTCTAACAAGTTCTTCTTTGTACACTTTCAAAATAGCCTCACAAACGAATCTGTATTGACTCTGGAAAAAAAGAGAGCAATTATTTGTATGGCAGAATGAAACAATTTTAAAGATTATCAATAAAATTTCAAGATACCATGCCAAACTTTCAAAATATTTAAATATATAAAACTCTTAACACCAATGAGAAATGTAATATTCAGAATCTAAATCCCATATTCCTAACTTTTAAGTAGCAAATCTGAAATCTTCCAACCGTGAATGATACTCTTTGTATACTTTATGCTTAATGCTTTATTAATTACTCTTACTGATTAATAGAATTAAGAACTCTAGTTTCTTTAATATACAAAACCTGTACTTATCCCGCTATTTGCTCTACAAACTACTTTCCAAATGAAAAAATAGGCCAACTGCAAACATTCAGGGTGTTTGTACTGTATTTTCTGCTATTTGCTAGAATATAATTTTCATCTGTGCACAAAAACCAACTTTGATTATGCCAGCATAAAGCATTAGCTCATCGCTGATTTCATTAGCTAGGTATTGCTTAATGAACTTTACTAGTTTTTCTTTAACATTATTGTAGGCCACTTCTTGTGTCTTTTTGTCATCTATTCTGAAAGTCATTACACTGCAACATTCTGTAGCTTTAATAAATAGCACTTTATCCAAGACCTACCTTTTCAGATTTTAATCTGCATATATTAATTACTGATATACTATGTATAAAGTCATTTCGTTATCTGATGGGCAGCAAATAACTCAATTAAATAAATAAATTAAACAAACAAGCAAATCAAGTAAAATATGTGATTGTGACAGGGTACTATTTTTAATGGCATAGCGTGAATCTAGAAATCTGATTCAAATACTGTACTGGTTTTAAAAAAAGAACAATGAAAAAATAAGACAATGCCATCTTGTGGATATTATGTGGAAATGTGCACATTTGCAAAGGAAAAGTAGACTTAATTCTGATTCTAATTTTACTAATACCATATAATTGAAACAACAGTGTAGTATCTTACTCATATGTGTTTAAATTCACTTTTACGTTTTAATGCAAAGTTCATCCTCTCACAGATTTTAAACATAGTGAAGCATGGTTAATGGCTTTATTTGAAACAAGTATACACCTTGATCCAGAAAAATATTTTAGCAAGAATATTTTCATCCATAGATTTCTTTTGCTGAATGTACAAAAGTGTGTTATAGAACAGAAGAAAAATATCTAAAGTGCTCAAATAACATTTTTGGCAAAAACCAAGGATAGGCAAGCAGAAAGTTTTTAATGAAGACACTGATATCTATAATCAAGTGTACCATTCTTTTAATAACTGTAGCACGACTGATAACTGTTTGAGAAAGGGAACTTACAACATATAAATGGTATAGAGTTACTGATTTTGTATTTGTTATGTGTCTTTTCCTCCTAAAACTACCTAGTAAACTCTTTGAATTAAAGCCTATACTTTTATCATGACATTATATCCTGAGCCAAATACTATAAACATAAAGGAACAAACATCTACCGTTGCTCCACAGAGAGCATTCTAACCTATTGCATTTATGTGTGGTTTGCCAACTACACAGTAGCAGATAGGAAAGCATTCCAGAAGTTCATTAACATCACCCAGAGGATTGTTGCCTGCCCTCTCCCCCACCCCCGGTGACAAACTGTACAGTTCCCGCTGTCTTAGGAAAGCTCATAAAATTCTTAAAGTCTCATCTCATCCAGGACATTCTTTTTTTGAACTATTACCATCTGGCAGACGGTATAGGATAATAAAAATAAAAACAAATAGGCTGAAAAATAGTTTTTATCCCAGAGCTGTACTCATATTAAATACTACTGTATAGTACAACATTGAAGTGCAATATTAAAAATATTAAAAATATGAGCCAGCAGTGTGCTGCAGCTGCCAAAAAAGCCAACACAGTGCTAGGCTGCATTAACAGAGGGATAGAATCAAGATCACGTGAAGTATTAATACCACTTTACAATGCCTTGGTAAGGCCACACTTGGAATACTGCATTCAGTTTTGGTCACCACGATGTAAAAAAGATGCTGAGACTCTAGAAAGAGTACAGAGAAGAGCAACAAAGATGATTAGGGGACTGGAGGCTAAAACATATAAGGAACAGTTGCTGGAATTGGGTATGTCTAGTTTAACAAAGAGAAGGACAAGGGGGGACATGATAGCAGTGTTCCAATATCTCAGGGGCTGCCACAAAAAAGATGGAGTCAGGCTATTCTCCAAAGCGCCTGAAGACAGGACAAGGAGCAACAGGTGGAAACTAATCAAGGAGAGAAGCAACCTAGAACTAAGGAGAAACTTCCTGACAGTTAGAACAATTAACCAGTGGAACAACCTGCCTCCAGAAGCGGTGAATGCACCAACACTGGACGTTTTTAAGAAGAAACTGGACAGCCATTTGTCTGAAATGGTATAGGGTTTCCTGCCTGAACAGCGGGTTGGACTAGATGACCTCCAAGGTCCCTTCCAACTTTATTATTATTATTATTATTATTATTATTATTATTATTATTATTATTATTATTATTATTATTATTATTATTATTAGGGGCAGCACAATGGTGAATAGAATGTGAAGGATGTGTGTGTATAATGTATGTTCTTATTTGTGGTTTTTACTTGTGTACTGTGCACTGTGGATATCACTTAATTTCATTGTGAATTACACAATGACAATAAAAGATATTCTATTCTACTTTATGCATAAGAAAACTGTGAGTAATACAAGCAGCCAAATAGGACTAACATATATTTTTCAACTGTGTGCAGAAAATTATGTTGTCCATTAGCAAACATTTTTGCTTTTAGGAAATAGGTAAGCTACAATGTGAGATACATAGTTTTTTAAAGATTAAATTGACCAGAATATGAATCTAGCATATCTTCAAATGTGAAATCTTACTTAATATACTTATATGCAATGCTGAGCTGCATGCCCATGGTGGAAATCCATACAAATGAAAGCAACAGCTCATGTTTGCAGCTGGGCTTTTCTGCCTTCATATGTGTCTTTTAAAATTTGTTGAATTGTTAGAAGAATGTGGTATGAAGCAAAGAAGCTGCAGCAAGGAGAACTGACAAAAATTCAAAGGGATCATCTTGGGTAAAGAGATTTTTTTTTCACTTGCATTTGCTGTCTTAAGACAGTATCTTTTTACCATATGGGATAATTAGGAAAAGCTATTTAAATATAAGTCTGATTGTGCAACTGATTTTAACATGATTGAAATTAATTATTTTAGATGGTCTTTTCTTGAAGATTTAATTCCGTATATAAAACTCAACTTAAGATTTGCAGATGATGTTGTTCTCTTCTCACAAGATCCAGAAGAGATACACACAAGAGCTGCACGAAGCAGAACCATTTGGCTTAAAAATAAACCTGAAAAACAGCCAGGTTATATGTAATAAATTCACTAAAGAATTTTTTTTATATCTGGAGAAGAACTAGATATAGGAGACCGCTACATATACCTTGGCCAATGGATCTCAATGGAAAGTAATACAATAAAGGAACTTGAACGGGTCTGTTAAATGTGGTTGGTAGGCATTCAGCAAGCTAAGTGTAATTTTCAAGAACAACGTCCTCCTATGCCTAAAGAGAAAAGTTTTCAATCAGTGTGTGCTGCCTGCTCTAACATATGCCGGTGAAACATGGACACTAATCTCACAATTAATACAAAAGCTATGAGTGGCACAAAGACCATGGAAAGATATATGATAGATGGAAAGATACAAGATAGAAAACCCTGCACATGGATTAGAGAACAAATGAAAGTATCTGATATCATCAAGAGAGTAAAAGAATTGAAATGGAAATGGGCCGGTCACATAGGAAGAAGAACTGATGGCAGGTGGACCCAGGCAGTCATAGAATGAATCCCACTTGATAAAAAGCATCCACGAAAGAGACCTAAAGCAAGATGGATCGACAACATCAGCAAGTATTGCGGGCCCAATTGGAAAAGAAAGCTCAGGACCACATAGGTTGAAAACATGCGGAAGAGGCCTTCATCCTGTAGTGGACAGACAATGGCTAGAATGATGATGATGATAAAACTCAATTGTCTTGGAATACAATATAAAACAATTATCCATAACCATATATCAGTAAGATTTTGCTATTATGGATATCCCAAAGGTGCTTTTTCAAAAGGCAGCTGGACTTTGTATCAGCTGCCACCTTATGCTTGCTTGTACTTAGCTGCCATGCGGTGACAGACTGCCATGAACTATGGGAAGGGGAAGGAAGGGGAAATGCTTCACGGAAACATGAGTGCTGAGTCTCCTCCAGATGCTGCCTCAAGGTCACCCAGCTGGAAGGAGGAGGGAGTCACATACTAAATCGGTGCTTGGACTGACCAGTATGAAAACATCTTGCCTGCAACTGACTGGTTACCCTTGGTGGGCAATGAGAGACAGTTAAGGGAGGGAAAAGTAGAACTTGGGGAATTTGGCTGCAATTTTCAATTCTGGCTTTGCACTACTGCAGTTCAGTTGATCTCTAACAAACTATACCCTTCCCAACAAATGGAGCCCAGGATCATTTCTTCAGAACTGAAGAAGCTTCTTGGATGAGAAATGAAACGTCTTCAAGGAAAACCAAGGTCCAGTTGTCTTTTGAGAAAGGAGCTTTGGGACAACTATGACCTGGATGACTGAGAATCTCCATAGACAAAATCCATAGGTATTACGGATAGTTGCATAATCAGCCAATGTTTAGACTGCATTAGTTTATCAACCGTTTGAAATTACAACAGTGCTGAAAAAAGTGACTTATGACAAGTTCTTGCACTTATGCTTATCACAGCCTCTCCACAATCACACGATTGTGATTTGGTACTTGGCAATAGTTGCGCATTTACAATGGTAACAGGGTCCCGCAGTGACATAATCACCATTTCTAACCTTCCTAGCCAGCTTCCAACAAATCATTGGGGAAGCAAGCTGGGAGGTCACAAGTCGCAGCTACATGACGTCGTGTTTAACAACTATTGTGATTCACTTAAGAAAAACATTGCAAAATCAGATGTGATCATGCTTCACTTAATGACTGCAATGCTCAACAAATTTTCTGGTCACTACTATGGTTGAAAATCGAGGACCACCCGTATACTGAACTAATATTTTCCTCTTCAAAGCAAGGAATTACAATTCCTAATATGTTATTGGTAACAGTTTACTCTGTTTAGCAACTTACAGGTGTTTGGATCATCATTGCCCTTTGATCTCTCATTGTTCTTACAATATCCAAGGGATAAACAGGCTGATTACATTCAATAAGACACATTGCTGTTTCCATAGTAATAAGAACTCCAGTTCGTCCAATCCCTGCACTGCAAAGGAGAGAAAGGTTATTATTTTCAAATTTAATACTTTTTAAATCTTTTAAAATACTTCTATAATTTATATAAATCAACACTGAAAATAATTTAGCACATCTTTAAGTAGATTACTTTGGGGGATTTGTCTTGTAACTCTGAAAGCTGAACACTTTTAAAAAAAATACAGGTGTGATGAGCATTCCATTATTTATTTTAATAATGACATTATTTCACAGCAGCTAAAGTAATCCAAGCATAGTAGCATTTCTACACATGGCTCCCTGTTCACACCACACGCCTTTCCCATTAGGTGAAACCTCTTCCAGTCTTTCCCATTGGTTGGCATTCTTATTTGCACTACCCTGCTGTGCAAAAGAATGCATTTTGAGGGGGGGGGTTGGGGTTTTTTTTATTCCAAGGAAACGGAACCCTCTTCAAAATCTTTCTTCCCAATAGGAGGGGTGTGTGGGGGGGGGGGAGGAAACACATGAAGCTTGGACTCCTGTTCAGTTTGCCTCATTTCTTCGGGTATGCCTTTGTTGGGATATATTTTTTAAAGGGAGGGAAGCAATTGCCTGCAGACTTAGACTAACAACAGGATGGGGTATGTAAGTGTGTGCTGCTTTTATTCTGGAAAACTCCAACAAAGGTTGGAAAGAGGCCCGAAGAGGTACAGGGATGAGCAGAGTGGCACACCCCACTTTGGCTCCCTTTGGTCGGAAACTTTCCATTCAACTGCTGGGAAGTTTTACTCTGTAGGTGTAGCTAAGATGGCATTTTGGCACATTCTCACTCTGGAGCTGCTTGCCATCCTACAAGGCAGGCAGGCAGGCAGGCAGGCTGCAGGGCAGCTAAAAGGGCAGAGATGGGAGACAGGCAGATAGGGGGAATTGGAGACAGTCCTTTACCTTACTGAGGTTCAGGGCTGGGAGGGACGGTGTGTAGTGTGATTTGCATTGGGATGGGTACTTGCTTAATGACCCAGGATTCTTGGTTAACAGTGGCGACAGGGAGTAGCAGATTGCCATCTGTAAATGATGGGGTCACAATATCTCACAACCATATTGCTTAGTGACAGAAATTTTGATCCCATTTGTGGTCAGAGGTTAAGGGCCACCTGTATCTATTCCAACACAGGATACTCAAAAAAATAACCAAGAAACATATTATTGAATATTATCTTATTTAATTGCTTATTTCAATGTCATTCTAACTTTTGTGTGTCCTACATCATTAGTCAGAACACTGCACAATGAAATAACATTTATCAGTTAAAAGCATTGGAAAAGAGTTCACAGGAATTTCCATAATGACAGAATACCTGCAATGAACAATAACAGGTTCTTCTTTCCCAGCCCTTCTTTTCCGGACAAGACATACAAAATCTAAGAAATCACTGGAATCATCAGGAACTCCATGATCAGGCCATGCTACGTACTGGATCTGAGTGAGTGGACGATCCTCATTTTTCTATTGAGACACAATATTTTCTCTAAAATCAACAAGCATTCAATATTCTCCTAAAATATACTTACATTTTGAAGTAAATTCTGCACCAGTGTTTTAAGTTATTAATCTCATATGACATACAATGACATGACATGAAATGAAATGAAAAATCACAGAGAGGATAAGGCAGAGATTATAACAATTGTAAATTACAGAGTTGTAAAACTAACTATACTGTTGAGCTGATTTTAGATAAGAATTTATGACGTTCCCTTTAGAGATAAAAGTGGAACAAGTAGGCCTTGTTTCAATTCATAGGGATTGCATGCCAATGTTCACACATGAATAACAAAATCAGAGTTAAAAACTCATTCAGTCTATGGGAAGAGAGATCATCTAGTTCTGGAGCACTTCAGTCTTATCAACACTTCAGCTTTCTTCAGTCTCCGATAAGAGATCAGTGGAGCACTTATCTTTTTCTTTCACCTCAAAGCCATAGAAAATGTTGGCTCTTGCATTTTGAAAATGACCAGTTGTTGTAGGTGTAATTATATTTGTAAAACATCTTGTAACAAAATGCTCTCCTCTTTCCCCCACCCCCCTTGAAGTAGATTGAGGTGAGTGAATGGCCCAGGTATTCAATGAACTTCTGTGACTAAACATCAAGAACCTACATTTCCTCACTCCTGATCCAACACCTTAACCACTACATCATATTGGCCCCCTCAGAATTTGACTTTGCAAGTTAAACCAGGATGTCTTTAACTCCAAAAATTAATGATTAAAAAGAATGGGTTTTTTTATGAAACGCAGGTACAGTAACTGGTGTATGACTTGAAAAGTCATCAACAGAAGGTTCATTGGTTGGATCAAGGAGGCAGTGCTGGACAGCAGGTAAGCCTTTTTCCAGGTTTGGATGGGTAACCAGGATTGCTAGGGGCAACATCGAAGGCTCTAAAGGCCAAATGTCTCTGTGCTCAAACAGAAAGGCACGCCCCTTTTCACAGATTACTCTGCTAAGCGGCATTTTCCTCTGTCCACAGGTTGAGGGCCTTTCCCATCTATTTCAGATGGGAAGTGGACAAACAGAACAGATCCTCATGGATAATGGCTTTCCTCTTTTTTTTTTTTATGAAGCAGATAGCAGATTGAGTGATTTTGTAATGCTCCAAAGCAGATGCTTTGCTCTTACATCCTCTTCTTTTAAGAGGAACACTTTTCAACAGAGCATTTCCAAAAACATATATCATTCAATTACTGCAGGAAGCACAAGACCATATGAAGTATGTTGCATATTAAAACTTTCATATATGAAAATCTTAAAAACTATAACAAATGAAAAAAAAATCAAATTTTGAAAGGCTCCTTCAGACTACAGGTAGTCCTCAACTTATAACCACAACTGGGAGCGGAATTTTAGTTGCTAAGTGACACAGCTGAGTCATCACTTAACCAAAACTGACTTTACATCCATTTTTACTGTGGTTGTTAAATGAATCGCTGTAGTCATTAAGCAATTCACTCTGGTTGTTAAGCAAATCTGGGTTCACCAATTTACTTTTGCTTGTCCAGAGCCAGCTGGGAAGGATGCAAATCATGAGCACAGGACTGCAAGATGCGGCAACCATTGTAACTGCGAGCAGGTTGCCAAGTATTTGAATTGCCATTTTTTTTCAAGGCTATCATGACTCCGAACTGTCATTAAACGAACAGTCATAAGTCAAAGACTACTTCTCTCTATGACAGTGGTTCTCAACCTTTTTAATGCCGCGACCCCAACCGATCGTAAGTCGAGGACTAAACCGGTCGTAAGTTGAGGACTAAACCGGTCGTACGTCAAGGACTAAACCGGTCGTAAGTCGAGGACTACCCAACCGGTCGTAAGTCGAGGACTTTCCCTGCCCGGGAGCGCCGCGCATGCGTAGTTCCGCCCCCTGCGCCAGCCGAGGCGTAGCTGGCAAGCGGCAGAGACGGAGCAGGCCGACCACCAGCTGGCCCAGCCCAAGGGAGGTAAGGCATCCGCCGGAAAAGGGGGAAAAAAATGGCGGACAAAAAAAAATGGCGGACAGCCTTGCTTGGCGACCCCCATGAAATGGTCAATCGACCCCAAATGGGGTCCCGACCCACAGGTTGAGAACTACTGCTCTATGAGGTCCTGGTTATAGTTTCTTTTGTTTATGTCTAAAGCTAACTCTTGTACTGTTAATATTAATGTGCTTTTCTTGTTACTACTATTATTAATAGTTTTATTTAAACATCAGTATTTCTTATTCTTTAAAAAATTATTTTGCTATTATTTATTCTCTAATTAAAATCTAATTTCTGATAATGTATTAATAGTCCTTTGTTTGGAATAAAATATTAGCAATAATATGCTGTTTTAGGAATCTCTCCGTTGTGACAGGAAAAAAGAAAGTAAAAATGATATGAAAGAAATGAAGTTATATGGCGAGTTGCCTTCCAAGAGTGACATTAGACCAACGATCAAGAAGTAAAAAATACCCCAGTCAAGGAACCACCAACTCAGACAAACAAGCTGACAGTAAACAACAGGCTAATCGAGGAACCACCCAGACCATCCTATAGCACTTACAGGGCAAGCCCACTGGTATATAAATGAAGTGATGATGTTATTTAGTTTGGTAATGAAATGTCTGCAAGAAAATAATCAACAACCAAAATTGGAGAACACCAAGGACACATAGTTTAACCAGTTCCATCAGTTGCCTTCAGGTACTGGGTTTCACCAAACTGGATCAATTAGACTGAATGTCTCACCTCTAAATTAAATAATGTCATCTCTCTGAAGACATAGGCAGGATTTCCTTCTTCTGAATGGCAGGTGACTTGGAAATTTCCATATAAGGAGCTTCCGCCAGGCTCTGGCCAGTATTGATGACATTTTACCTAAAGTCAACAGATTTTTATTATTATTATTAGGGTTCGTCACATGTTCAGACTAGATGTTCAGACTAGATTTGGCATTGTTTATCCCCCTATTGAATCCTTCCCAGAGACCTGAGATACGTTGTTTATTGGTGTTAAAGATATCAGGATGAAAGCTGCTTTTTGCAACTGACTGATGGTGATTTTCTCAATATTATTATTATTGCTACTGCTATTAAAAAGTTTTCTACATACAAGTAGTCCTCAACATACAACATAACTGAGCCTGGAATTTATATTAATGATGCAGGTCACTTTTAGAAACCAGTAGGATAAAGTAAAAATAAAAAGTATATAATAATGCATTTTTATATTCCTCAGATGATCAATCCTAGTGGCAGCCATGTTAGATTTGGCTTAACTGGATAAAATTCTTTCACATTTTATAACTACATTTAATATAGGAACACATTCTTTTCAACCTGTTGGAAACTGATTGGCATTACTGTTATGTATCATCATAATACTGATTTTTCTTCTTCTTAGCATTTCCTTGCAAGTGTAGGGCTGCTTTTTTTGGGGGGGGGGGGGAATCAACCAAATATTGATCCATTGATTGCAACAGGAATTGACCGAATGGTTTGTCATCCAAGCCTGAGCAACTCATGGGCTGAATGTCCAAAGTCACTCAGACAGCTTTCATGCCTAAGGTGTGGTAGAACTCACAATCTCCTAGTTTCCAGCCTGGTGCCTTCAGCACTATACTAAACTGGCTCTCCATCACAATACTAAATTTGATATTACTAATTTGTTCACTCTGCAACATATTGCTCAAAGCAGTTACTAATAAATGGAAGGCTCAGAATAAAATATTATTAAATACAGACTGTATAACCATTCGCATTCTGGAAAAGATTCAAAAAAAGCAGTCAACTAGTACTGGTCTTAGCCTCCTCCAAAATCTTTTAACAACGCAGTAGTATTTATTGCCTTTCTAAATGTTGTCCAGGAACTAATTCAATGCACGTTCTAGGGTAGGCTAAAAAAAATGGCATTATCTTGTCACTTGTAAAAATGGCTTTTAATAGACCAAAAGAAAGTCTTCTCTGAACGTAGAAGCTGTAGTAATATATTAGAAGAGTTCTCACAGATAAAAATTCTTATTTTTTTTTAATTTCAGAGGAACAACCAGAATATTCAATCAACATATAAAGCTGTAACTAATCCAATGTTTTAAGATTACTTTTTGAATTGAATGGCTTGGCTAAATCTTTTAGCCATGGCATCACATATTTTAGATCTGACTATTCAGGAAAGAAGTTACAAACGAACTCATAATTTGTTATTTTAAAACTTATTCTTAAACTAAGAATTAGTTTTCTATTTTTTAAGAATTACTTAATTTATACTTAATTAGTCAATTTATAATTTATTTTGACAACCTTCTTGGAAATGTATGGTATGAGTACACTTTTTCTAGTAGTGAAAGTTTCTAAAGAGTGAACAGTATAGTACAGCAATTTATCTTAACATGGGACCATGGCAAGGTAACATACCATTTTTTTCCATTTTAATGAAGAGCTGCAGCATACCATCGTAGCACTATTATAAAATGTGATCTATGTTGCATGCTAATGTTCAATTTTACCCCATTCAATTTGAGAAAATATTAAAAATGGCCAATACCAAATATTTAATCAAGTTATAGTTCAATCTCAAATATTGACACAGTTTAGAAAGGACAAATTTCTAAATAAAAGCCAGTCTCTTGGCATCTATTAGTTGTAAAAGTTACAATTGAGGACTTACTCTGCCCCTTTCCACTTGAGTGGTTAACATAACAACCATCGAGGAGCTTTGTTCCCAGGTCATCTGCCAAAAATCTGGGCAAGTGTTGGGCAAAGGACCTTGACAAGCAATGTATTTATTGATTATACTAGAAGAAGGAATTTCCATCTAAAAATAAAAGACATTTGCAAAAAACGTTTAGAGATGTCAAAACTTTACATGCTCTTAATTAGATCAAATTTCATTTCAAGAGAAGGCTAGAAAATATATTAAAATATATACAAGAGTTTCTGCATTTATAGTGAATGCAGGAACTTTGGCTATTTTGTAACTTGTTGAAGTAAATCAAACAATTGTTTTTATTGTTTTTACATCTAAAATGTTGAGCTATTTTACCTTGGAAACAGAAAATAAAGAAAAAAATGTAAATGTCAACTCACATTTATATAATTTGCATTGATGTAATCATCATTACTGTTTAAAATGACCCGTGTAGCATCATCTGAAATAAAGACAAACATTTAATTTTTCAAATGACAACTAAAGACAATATGTTTACTTACACATAAAAAAGTACTTACAAGGCGAAATGTCTCTGTATCTATTTTTGGAAATATTTTGAGGTAATTTGGCACAAGACATTGTCATTCCAGGCTTCTTCCTATAAAGTTGCTAAATAGCAACAAATGATTAGATAACAAAAACAGAATATCATAATGAGACAGCATGTTCAGGTAACATAATTCACAACAATATGTTCCTGCCTGCCTATATATCATAAAGTACAAATTATTTATTTATTATTGTTTATTGCATTTATATTGCATTGTAAGTTAAAGACCCTTAATTGTATATATCAATATAAAAACATCAATGGTACCACTGCAAAAGACAAATTAGAAAGAAAAATCCCTTTCCCTTTTTTGAAGATGGGAACCACATCAGCCTTTTTCCAATCCTCAGGTGCTTCCCCTGTGCTCCAGGATTTTTGAAAGATGTGGTGCAGTGGTTCTGAGAAAACATCTGCCAGCTCCTTCAGAACTCTGGGATATAATCTGTCAGGCTCCAATAATTTATATTCGTCAAGGTCGGATAGATGTTTTCTTACCATTTTCTTGCTTATTTTTTGTTTCTAATTTGTCTTTTGCAGTGGTTTTTTTGGTATGTTGGGCTATAGTTTCTTTTTGTATGAAGACTGATGTAAAGTATGAGTTAAGCAGCTTTGCTTTCTCCCTGTTGCCTGTTATTTCCTTGCCATCTTCTCTTTAGTGGACCTACAGTTTCCTTGACTTTTTCTTGTTGTTAATATGTTGGAAGAAACTTTTTTTTATTATCCATGATTTCTGTTGCAAGTCTTCGTTCTGAGCCTTTGCTTTCCTGACTTCATATTTACATGTTCTAGCTGTCTGCTGATAATCGGCCTTAGTTGTGTACTCCTCTTTCCATTTTTTGTATTTGTCCTTTTGGTCTCAGTGTGTCAGAGAGATCTTTGTGCAGCCATGCTGGTTTCTTCTTGAATTTCTTGCTGGTATGGGCTTTTATGATCACATTTTTGAGTTTCCCACATTTCTTGGGTTGTTTTCTGATTTAGGATTTTCATCCATGGGATCTTTCCTAGGTTCTCTCTGAGTTTGTTAAAATCAGCTCTTTTGAAGTTCAAGATACTGGTTGGATTGTTTTCTGTTGCTAGTGTTCGCATTATATTAAATTCCAGTATGATGTGGTCACTTTCGCCCAAGTTTCCGGCAACTTCAACTCCCTCTATCACTTCTTCTCTATTAGTTAGAATTAAATCCAGTATGGCTTTAAGTCTAGTTCCCTTCTCAACCTTTTGGATGACAAAGTTGTCGGCTAGGTTGGTTAGGAATCTGTCTGATCTCCCGCTGTTTGATCTCCCGAGTTTGTCTCCCAGTTAATATCTGGATAGTTGAAGTCTCCCATTACTATTGTGGCATGCTTCCTACATACATTTGTTAACTGCTTGGCAAAGAGTGCATCTATTTCTTCTGATTCGTTGGGTGGTCTGTAATGTACACCTATGGTAATGTCACTTTTTTTCTCTTTTATATTGACCCATATGCATTCTGGAGAGATTTTATCTTTGATCATGTGCGTTTCTGTAGATATGTAGTATTCTTTTACATATAGTGCAACTCCCCCTCCCCTTTTTATAGACCTGTTTCTTTTGAACAATTTGTATCCATCCATCAGTCCATTCCCTTTGTGGGTTTCGTCCCACCAGGTTTCTGTAATACCAACTATGTCATACCCTCCCTCGTGTACTATTGCTTCTAGTTCACCCTGTTTGTTCCCCAAGCTTTGAGCATTTGTATATAAGCATTTAAGGCTTTTATGCCTGTCCATGGGTATGTTTCCTGCACTTCCTGAATGTTGTTTGGGGTTTTTTTTTCATCTTGGCCAACCTCATTGTTTGATTTGTTTTCTTGAGATTTATGATTGGTTTTGGGTTCTAGAGATTCTGAAGATTGCTCACCCTCCCCCCTCAATTTTAGTTTAAAGTCCTCCTGATGATTGGGCCAATCTTTTTCCGAGTACATTTTTCTCTCTGTTCCCTCCCTTTCATTTTCTCAAACTATTTCTGAACAGATGTGGCCTTTTTGCAATGTCAGATATTAAAGAACAAATGAATGAATAAAATTGAAAGTGCAGTCCTGCAAAAATAAACTATCTACTTTGGTCTTAAAGCATATATTTTAGATTAAACCAAGGTAATATCCGATTTACATTTGCACATCTACATTTCAATATATTTTGTACTGGATACAGATATTTATATAGCTTTGTAGTAACTTTGTATTCACTGAATAATAATAATGTTCTTATTTTATTCAAGAGGGAATGTATAAAATACTAGCTAGAAAAAGTTCAGAGAAACTTAAGTTTATTAAAATGTTTGCCTTCAATGTGAAGACTTAGATTAATTGGATAATTATGCTATCTTAAAACTAAAAAAAAAACCTAAGAAAATAATTTCAATGAAGTAATGCAAATATTTTGCCAGGCATTTCTTAATCTAAATTGAATCTGTGGCTTTTTAAAAATCCAAAATTCACAACTAGAAAGTGCATACACAAACATAAATTCTAGAAATACATTACTTACATCAAACTGAGCCAAGACTGTTCCAGTGACAAGCCCTTCCGCTAGCTGAAACATTGATTCTCTCAGAGCATTATCATCATGGTGAATTCCATCAAGTGGGGACTTGTCAGGTATGTACTGGAAATCTGGTTCACTTTCTAGCTTTTCTTCTACTACATCGTAAATAGCTATAATAAACCAAAAGTAGCAGAATTATTAAAACGAGGAGTCAAATTGTATTCCTTTGGAAACAAATATATTTAGGCAATGTTTTTGTTGAAAACACAACATTACAACATGGTATAAAAGTATTGTGAATAATATTAGGTGTGAGAGAATACTGATTAATTTTTGTTTGGATTTAAGTGGCACCTTTTTGTATACAATATTCTGCTGCAGACTATTATTAAAATATATCAGCAGAGGAACTGAGCTTCAAAATAACATGAGAGAACAGAAGTAGAGCTATTTTAATAGTTTACATGAGAAACCAACTGCCTTTGGCTCTCTCCATCTGTTACTCAGCTGGCAGCATACTGCTGAACTTTTTGTCTAAAATGGTCAGATAAGAACTGTAACTTTAACAACTGGTGCTTGAGCTCTTTTTCTACTTTTCTACTTTTTCTACTTTCCCCATTTCCCCTTCTTTGGATATTATATTTTAGACTGGAAACTGGGAGACAGTGACTGATAAGCACTAAGCTAGAAAGCAGGAGGCTGTGAATTTGAGTCCTGGCTTAGCTATGGAAACCAGCTGGGTGACTTTGGGCCAGTCACTGTCTCTCAGCCCAACTCACCTCACAGGGTGGTTGTTGTGAGGAAAACAGAGGAGGAAAGTGTGTTGGATATTGTTCCCCGCCTTGAGTTATTTGTAAAAATAATAAAGACAGGATGCAAACAAACACATTTGTATATTATTCTTGAAATTTTTACTATTCTTGGAACTTGAAAAATGCTCCAAATAGGTCAGCATCTACATCTCAGGTCTTGACCTTTCTACAGGTGGGCCTTGATTTTGATCTGCAATCAAGTTAGTCCTGATGCCAAGGAGCATGGGATCTTTCTCAGCCCTTCCTCACATCTAGAGATTCCATATTGGGAATCTTAATCATTTACTCATGATTTACCACTATCCATCATGGAGCCTTCAGTTAGTTTTTCAAACCTCTCTGCAAAGCAATAATAAAGCCTCAGCCAGATGATTACAAGATATAAATTTCTGACTGACAAACAATCTACATCATTCAGTCAGATGCCATTACTCTGTATCTAAACTCAGTCTTTATCTTCAGTTAGAAAATACTGGAACAGACTAGACATCACACAGGTTATCAGAATCTGCTTGTGAAGAACACAGAATTTCAGGGTCTTTGAGAGGCCAACTATGAAATCCAGATGGCTTGGGGCTTGCTCAAACTAACGTATGAAATTCAGAATAAGCCATCCCAGAAGGAATTATAGCCTAGTCCACTAGAAATGCAGGTATTTCAGGTAATTACTTTCTCTATATTCGTATAGTTTTGAAATCTGCTTCAGAGGATTCCTTTAACCCTTTACATTAGGAATCACACAGTAGACAAGAATCTCCTACCCAAGATTTGAGCAGGGGAAAAGGAAGGTTGTAATTTTTTACTAGATTTCATGGTATTCTCATTTAACAATTATCCTCCATATGTTTCCTATCTGAAACAGCATGTGTTTGACACTTATGTGCCAGACAGTATTTGTGGAAAACAAACATATTTTATTAGTACTGGTTAGAACAAAAACAAAACTGAAAAAATGTGGAGGTGGAAATTATGGTTTTTGCTTTTTAATTTCAAACTCTTTCATTTAAACTAATGCTACTTTTAGCAGTTTGGCAAGTTAAAATAGAACACATAATCAAGTTTCTTTCTAATGGCCACAATATAGAAAATTGAATTCAAAACACATACACAAATAATGGATTAAAGTTATACTCTCTTGCTTGTTGACCTAGTGCAGTAATTTCAACCTGCTTAGCTTGTTTTATTTCTGGTTATATTTTTCTACTAAATGTTCCTATATTGTCACTGAGCAATAAACCAGAATTAAGTATCTCATACCCAGCCAACAAGATGCCACAATGGGTTACACAGAAGCCTATTAAGAAAATGTTGTATTCATCTGGCCTACGAGAAAAATTTAAAAATGAGATACTTAAATGTAAAATGCACTGGTTCAGACTATAAGTAACATTAGGTTCAATGAGGCTTGCTTCCAAAGAAATGAATATAAGACAGCATTCTTAATTTTGGAACACTAATTGCCCAAAGCTAAAGCAGCTATGAAAAGTAAAGGAAGCTTTCTTTTTAAAAAGTGGAAATTTTGCCAAAATGATGAAAGCACAAAGGTCTGTAACTTTTATTAAGAACAATATGATGAGCAACAATATATTGGTACAAATAATAATAGAAACAATTATGAAAAGACCAGAAGCAGGAAACAGACAAGAAAGGCAGTTCTCTAAGGATAATAAAAATTGAGTAAAATAATAGAAATAACCATTAGAAAAAAATCTATGGTTTGATGCAATTTGATATTTGTAATTTCTAGTTTCCCATTTCAGTTAATATCACCAGAAGAGAATAAAAAAGTAGCAAAATGCTCAAGGGAAGTGAAACTTCTTCTTTACTGAAAAGACAAATATTTCTGGATTTTTTAAGGGGGGAAAAGTAACATGAAAAATATATCAGACATACACATAAAATGATTAATGAACAAGCAGGAAAAGTTCTCTCTATATAAAGTTCTCCAGGACAGCTTTAGATTTGGGCTGGGGAAGAAAGAAAACTTATTCATGTATCAATTCAAGGAATACAAAGCAGCAAGCCATGATGATAACTATAGATGTACATGTTTCTTTAAACAAATTAACAGAAGATACCTAAAGAAAATCTTGCTTATAGGTAAGAGATATGGGATGAATAGATACATGTTTGTAATTTAGAGAGGATGAAGTTACTAAATTTGTTTATACTTTTGTGATGAAGGTTCAAAATCATATCTTTATATATCTCTTTTCTCTCTATTATATTCTTACTTTACTCTTTATTCTCTTTTTCTTTCCTTTATCTTACACTTCTTAGTTTCTCTATATGCTCTTTAAGTTTAGTTTGTATAAGATTCTATTATAATCCAAATTCTTTTAAAAATTTATACAGCATGTAGACCTATTTACAATTCTAAGTAATGTTTTCAAACTAAACAATTATAATAAGGCATAATAAAAAAAAAAGTAAAGGAATCCCTGCGGATTTTCCTCCGCTGGTTGTTGCCGACTCTAGGGGGCAGTGCTCATCTCCATTTCAAGGCCATTGAGCCAGCGCTCTCTGAAGACATTTTTGTGGCCATGTGGCCAGCATGATGTCACGGGGCGCGGTTATCTTTTCAATGAAGTGGTAGCTATTTATCTATTTGCGTTTGCATGCTTTCAAACTGCTAGATTGGCAGGAGCTGGGTCACGTGGCACTCGGGTCTTGAACCTGGCTGCCGGCTTTCCAGCCGACAAGCCCAGCATCTTAACCACTGAGCCGCTCCTAATAAGGCATAAAGATGAAAGTAAATTCCTTCTTAGGTTGTTTATGTTGAATTAATTTGTCATATCTAGAACGTTCAACAGTCTCAACATTTGAACTAGCAGATTAGGACAATTATATAATGCTCACTGAACTATTTAACCATTGTGTACCCTATTAGAGGGCAAACACTGACTTGACTATTTTTCTTTTTTATATAGAAAAGCAGCTGATAATTTAAATAACACTAAAACAACGAGTATATAAGAACAATAGGCAGAATAAATCTCACAACAAATGCTCTAATGACAGCATAGTATAAAGGGGAAAAAGAAGCATGTTTTATACAGGTAAAATTACTCACCATTGGGTCGAACTAGGAGTACAAGTTCCCCTGAGTGCCGCTCACAGCTAGCTTTAATAAACATAACAACTTGATCGTGGGTGTGTTCTGATATATCCCTGCCGTTGATCAGTACAACCTGGTCTCCTTCATTCAAACGAGGGACACAAACATCTGCCTGCAACATGAAACAAAGTTTTACTCCAGTGGAAAAGAGAGGTGCCTTTTCTTTTTAAATTAACTGCTTAAAAACACAAAATGGACATACTGAAGAATTATAACCAGTATACAAATGCCCATACTTGTTTAATATACTTTGCCCACTGGAGTAGTTGTGGGAAAGATTTTGAAAATTTTCACTTTTTTATCAATTGCAGACTGTAACAACATGTGATCCTGGACAAAAAGAAAAGCAAGCTTCAAATAATACTTTATGAAATTGACTTGTCTCCCCTAACCATAATTTATCAAAAACATATTGAACTACACTTATTCAATAACAGAAGCTTTTAATATTTCCCTCATTGCTGTGTTTGAAGAGGAAAAGCAGAAGGATAGAATCAGTATCGTAATATTAAAGTTATGTACTTCAGAGTTACACATCTAAATACAGCTGTTAAATAATCCAGTTTATGTCATATCGAAATAATACACTCAAAAATATTGCTAACTTGTTCATTATTTATTTTTTTATATTTATATATTGCCTTTCCAGAAAAAAAGTTTTTGACATTTCTTTAGTTTATCCTAATAAGTTCTAAAATATTTTTTTCTGTTTAAGAATAAAATTGGACACTGGAATAAAGAAAGCTAGATAAGATGGATAAATAGATAGATCCAGGCTACCTGATGAACTTCCTCGTGCTGGTAGAGTTAGAGTACTTTGGATCCTGTCAGTCAAAGAATTCTGACTATCAGGATTAAAAAGAAGAGCCTTCTCTGCTGCAGCTCCCGCCCTTTGGAACATCATACCCTCCAAGGTGAGATCTGCCTCCACTATCCTATCTCTCCGTAAGATTCTGAAGACCTGGCTCTGCCGGTTGGCCTGGGGACCAAATGGAGGAGTTCCACACTGGAGGTGGCTGCTGAATTGATGCAGACTCCACCTTCCCTCCCCTACCACTCTCCACCCATCCATCTTTTTGGTTTTCATATTGATATAATCTTATTGTGTTGCTTTGGCATTGCTTATTTTATAGTTTTATTATTTTACTTCTGTTCTGTTTATACTTTCATTTTATTTGTTTTTATCATTGTAAGCCACCTAGTGACAAATGAATTTAACAATTATAACTAATAAAGAAAAAATTGTACAGTAACTTTTTAGAGTTCCCTGATGTAATCGTTTAATATTCACACTATCACAAACAGAAATTTTGATTGTTTACCAGCAAAGCACAGAAGGATCTATTTAATACAATAGGGAACTGAACTACAATAATAAATAAGCTACTTTAAAGCAAATATCAAGGTTAGTAGCTCTTGATGTCCTGCCTTCCACCCATTTGTGTAACATCATTTTAAAAGAATCTAAATAAGTGGGCATCATCAGATCTAAAGACATGAAAAGTGCTTATTTTTCTTTATCCCTCTAAAGTTCCCTGCATTTAACTTTATTGGAAGACCCCCAAATATTGTATTAGAGAGAAAAAACATTTTCTCTACATGTTGCATACGATTCTTGATGTTACATTCTTAGACAATGTTCACCTTACCCACTGTGTTTCCAACATATTAAACATTTCATAGCATCTTATAGAGATGAGAAAATGGAGCAAGGTAAACATAATCATTTAACACAATATTTACATTTACAAATGTAGTCCTTGACTTACAAATGCAACTGAGTTTGGATTTCTAGTAGTTATTATGATAGTAAATCAAAGCAACGTGACCAGACCAGATTTTATATTTTTTACTGTAATCACTACGTGAACCATCATGATCATTAAGTGAATCTATGGTCATTAAGCAAACACATTGGTAGTAAATGAGAATCTATTCTTCTGAATGAATATTTTTTTTTGCCAGAAACTGGAAAAAACTTCGAAAATCACAGTGATGTGACCATGGGATGCTACAACTGATCCAAAAGGCGAGCTGATGCCAAGTGCCCGAAATATGGTCTTGTGAATGTGGGGAGGGGTGCGTAAAATAACAGATTATGACAGCCAGAAGTGCTTTTTAGCCATAAAACACCTATTATGGTCTCATTATAATTTCAAGCAGTTATTAAGCGGTCAGTTATAAGTCAAGGGACCATCTGTAAATCTTGCAAACTGATAAAAGTATAAAGAAGGGGGAAATTATAAACCAAATACTTATCTACTTCTATGAGCAACCTCTTTTACTTTTATGTTCCATTTTCTTTTTCTTTTTTTAATGTACATAAACCTCAAGTAACAATAAAGCAAAGACCATAATATTAAGCATTAAGCTTAAAATGGAAAACTTTATTATATAATAAAATAATGTAATGCACTTTGCAGGTTTTAATGCTACACTCAATTCTAGAGGTACAATTTAAATAACCTTATGTTCATTAACGTTATCATTTCAGAAATCATAGTGATTTTTTTTAAATCTTTAAAGGTTTACGTTTCTTAAATCATCATAGTAGTAATAATCTTTAGTTAATTAATATAAGCAGTCCTCTCTTCATGACTGCCCTGATTAGTGACTGTTCAAAATTATAATGGCGCTGAAAAAATAACTCTATGACCAGTCCTTGCACTTACTACTGTCACAGCATCCCTGCAGTCAAAAGATCAAGATTCTGGCACTTCACAACCAGTGGACTGACAACAGCACCCCAGGGTCACCTGACTGCCATTTCAATGCTTTACAGTCGGCTTCTGACAAGCAGTCAATGGAAACACCAGCAGTAAAATCACAAGTCACAGTCTTACTTAAAAATTGTGGGTGATTTGCTTAACAATTATGGCAACAGTGAGATCATAAGTCTCAATTAGTTAAGCAAGCATTGCCTTTATTACATAAATACCACTGAATCCAAATTATATAATGTGATAACTTGCATCTTATAATACAATAAAGTATTTTGTTTTAAAAAAACCTAAGAACTAGGAAGTTTAAAAGATTTCCTCTGATTAGATAAAGTAACTTATAATTCTTATATCCCAAGCTTCCATTTCCAATGTTAAAATGATGCATCAGAATTCGCTGTTATGAAAATAGTTGTAAAAAAATAAAAAAATTAAACAAAGTACTGAAAGTTAACCATATATATCATTGCGAACTTTCTTTGATCAGACTTACAGGTGTTCCGGGGGCCACCCTAGATACAATGACAGGCATCTTCTGGTCATATCCACCCTTTTGAAAGAAACATAAATAATGAAAATACGTAAAAAAATAAAACCCTCTCTAAGTATTAAAGTAGCCAAAGATATAATAAAATTTTTTAATACCTTTACATTGAAACCAAATCTGCCATTTTCATCAGGTCTTATTCTGATTAGAACAAGATTGTCATGAGGAATCCCACCATTTGGCTGAAAATGAAAACGAAGTAATTTGGATAATGAAATGTCTGCAAGAAAACAAGCAAGCTCAAAGAGCACCAAGGACCCCTCAAACGAAGTATTGTTTACACTAATGCCAACTTCTGTTAAAGAGCCACAGCTGAATTTTAAAAATATCTATAATTTCTTATTACTAAACTAATTATTTCCTCTTCTAATAATTGGAGCTCAATTGTTTTTCATGGAGTTACGATCATGTAAACAGAAAATTACATAGGGAATAAAGAAAGAGAATATATAATCTGATTTTAAACATACTGAGTTACACTAGAAAACAAACCAGCAAACCTAGGTTGAGCCCTTCTGCTTCTCAGTCTTTCAGCTTTCTGAAACAGACTTTAGATATGTAGAGAGGAAGGAGAATTTTTTCCTGATAGACAGACATGGCTGAATGCTCAAAAACAGGGACTCAGTATTTGGGATGTAAGATAAGTACCTGCAGATCGCAGTTTAACACAGTATCCCATTGCTAGTAAAGAACTGTGTGCAGAAACAGAAATATATAGCTTTTTTTCCCCTTCTGGACAAATCTCTGCAGTTTATTTGGTAAGGTTTTTCAGAAGTGATTTACCATTGACTCTTTCCTAGGGTTGAGAGAAAGTGGCTGGCCCAAGATCACCCAGCTAGTTTTATGCCTAAGGCAGGACTAGAACTCTCCTGATTTCTAGCCTGATGCCTTAATCACTACATCAAGCTGTCTCTCCAATATGTAGCTAATACAAATTAACATACAAGTATCATTTAACAGATTTATAAATTACAATAATTGAAATCAATGTTCATAAGACCTATAGTTATTAATATATGCAAATCAAACAAGTGTGGAAAAAAATCTTACAGTAGATTTTTCAGGAGACGAGGAAGAATCGTCATCATACGTTTCATTTATATGGTTATCCAACTCTATCTGTGAATGTGAATAATGAATTTGGTTCCAACTATTCTTTTTAGATTGTTTAGGTGGCAGTGCAGGTGGCTGGCCATCTATAGGGGGCTCTTGAGACCTACATATAACATGAGAAAATAAAAAGATGTTTTTGAAATTTACACGTTAAAAAGAATGCATCTTTAAGACAACTACAGAATATGGGTGTGTGAATTAAAGTACAAGTCCTCAGCAACTGACATAAATAACCAATAGAACAGAAGATGGGACTTAAATGTAACATGATTAAAAGCTGGTGGGGGGGGGAGGTTTCCTACTTGTTTCTTGCCCACTGCCGCCCACTATATCTTTGAGAAGAATTTCTTAGAAAAAGGCAAGAGACCCAAGGAGGACTTCGTGCAGGCCATAAGGCATTGCATTGGGAAGAAATCAGGTAGATATAGTTTATACAAGAGCTGTAATTTCTGCCTGTAATTTGTCAAAAACTAGTCCAGCCTTTCAGTGAAAACACTAATTTTTGCACATTGTTTATATTCATGATTCCAATTATAAATTAGGAAAAAATAGAACTTGCAATAAAATGTTATTTTGTGCACATACTGTTTCATACTGTTTTATTTCTCTTCATTTCAGTATCCAAATCTGGTCAGTTTTCCAGTCCCACTTAATATGTACAGTTTTTCTTAAATTATAGATTTTTCCCTTTATGCTTTTATTTCAGTTTATGTGCAGGTATATATGTCTATACTTCTGAGCTTCCCAGTACATACCACGTTTCCCCGAAAATAAAACTGGGTCTTTTTTTTTTTGCCTCCAAAAGAGGCACCAGGTCTTATTTTCAGGGGGTGTCTTTTATACTCACCTCCAACACCGACAGCCCCGCCCAGCAGGTCCACTTCTTCTGGCCAAAGGAGCAGCTTCATTCTGGCCTGCATTTCACAGTCAGGCTTTCCGGAAGGCCTATGCAGCCGAGTACCAAGCTATGGATTCAATCTATAGCTCAGTCCTCGGCTGCATAAGACTTGCAGAACTGAGCTATGGATTGAATCCATAGCTCGGTTTTTGGCTGCAGAGGCCTTCCGGAAAGGCCTGTGACTGAGAAATGCAGGCCTGGCTGCAGAAGACACCTCAGAAGAAGTGGGCCGGCAAGGAGAGGCCTGGCTGTGAGGTAAGTGGGTGCGGGGCGCATGGGGAAGCTCCACACCCCATCCTAGCTGGCTTTTTAGGTGTGTGCCTCACCCCAAAACTAGGGTCAACAGAACTATTTCTTTTTTATTCTTTTTTAACAGAATTATTCTATGTGTTCTAAAAGGTTAATTCTGCTACTTTCTATTAGGCCACATATATGCCTTATATTCTACTACAGGCTTTCCAATGATATTCTTAAGTAAATACCCAGTTTATCATGTGCTTGCATAACAAAGAATGACTGATTTCATTTCATTAGGAAAAACATCTGGGTTCCATCTCTGGCATTTTCCAAAGGGGTGAACATTTATGCTATTTGTGGCAATCTCAGATTAAATGATAGATCAGTGCTTCCAGATATGCCCACGAGGAAAGGGAAGGAAAAGCACCAACAGTTACACCATAAACCAGGTATGACAGATTATCCAAACACACCTACATCCATCGTTACTGAAATCCAAATGCACTAGTAGAAATCTTTATGAAGTGTCTTGTAAAAGACAGTGTTCAAAGTTGGCCTGATAATATACTATTATTTTGCAATTTGACAAGTCTGTACAGTAATTCACCTGCAGTTTACACAAATTTCTAGAAATTCATGTATCTAAAGTCTTAATGACAATTCATTTATTCACACTGCAAAACTGACAATTTCAATACAATTCCCACAATAGCATATCCAAGTAAAAATAACCAAGGTTGTCACTGACTTCTTTTCAGACTCATTTAAATTAGTAGGCTTGGGAATTCACTATTCTCATATAGAAATGCAAGGTACAAATGATTTCATATATTGGTATTAATTTACAAACTAGTATGTATTACTTAGCAACTCTTCTTCCCAATTTTAATTGTAATCTGATTAAATCCTGAGAATACTTTTCCATTGGAACATAATATCCAGGATATTATCGTGTTTAAATTCTTTCATTTTCAAATGTGAAAGGCAAATAAAATTTACAACATATACAAAAAAACTGAACTAACTAATATAATACTATGGTTCCAAGTGTAATACACAGTAATATATTACCATAATAAATTGTGAGGATTAAGAATAAACTGGAAAAAAACTTCCTAACCTTATATTTACCCAGTTAGCTCTTAATTTCCTCTGAATGTTTAAAACAATGGATGTGTAAGTGGAATATTTTGAATCAAAGTAGCTTTCTGTATTATTTCCTTCAACAATGTGCATAATCAAATAAAAAAATGAAAACTTCCTATTCAGCTAAGTGCTATGTCACACAAATCTGATACTATATCTTCCAAATGTTACTATATCTCTTAAGCACAAGTAATGTATTAGTACAATATATATGGATTCTATTAATGTTTCCAATGACTTCTTTAAAAGGTTAAATTTGTGGTATTCTAACACACTAATATTGAACCATGACCCATTTTATTTAAGGGGAAAATGAGAAATCATTTCCAATAACTGTATAACACATATTTCATATTTATATGGCCCTTTGAGTGTGCTATTTTACACTGTTTAAAAATATTTACAGAACTATAAAGTAGATAAGTATTATCTCCCCCTGCACAAGTGGAGGGGTGATATGGTTGCTAGATTGCTTATATGAAGCTACCTGATAAATTTACGAGATTTGCTATTATTATGTTATATATTTATATTCTACCTAAAATTAGATCCCTTATGTTACTTCAGTTTTTACTTACAAAGTATAATTAAATATAAAAATGAGATCTGCCAACCTTATAGCTATATGGAAGAAATATGGAAAGTCTATATGTTATAGCAGTACAAAATGTCTTTGCAGGATTACAAAAATCAAACTTACGGTGATGATTCTAGAATTATACTATTGGCCTGTGTAGAAGAAGGCGACCGATGGTTTGCAAATACCTCACTGGGTGAAGTATGGACTACATGGTCTACTAAATGTCCAACTGAAGATGGCCGTAAACGGTTTCCCTCTTGAGTAAATGTGGAGTTGCGACTGAGCATGGAAAGAACAGTTATTTATTAACCTATTAGTAAAGATTTGTAAGTTCTGTGCTTTTAAATAGTTTTACCAGCATTTCTAAGAAATATCAAATCAATTTCTATAAATGCTACTGATTGCACTCCTAAATGCATGCTCTCTATTGGTGTGAAAAGCAGTCAATAAGTAGTAGTAAAACAAATTTTGTAAGAAATATATTAGAAATCAATAAGACATTTGCAACCACAGTACTATCTCTAACACTGACTGACATCTATATAAATGATACATGTGTGGCATGCATCAATAGATGAGGAATCAACATAAATCTTAAACGGTGTCCTAATATTACAGAAATTACTTCAGTACAAATATTATCTTTCCTTCTGAAGGATTTTTGCAAGATATATATTTAAATAAAATAAAATAAAAACACCTGGTCTCCTTCCTTTTCACGTAGCTTGCTAGAAAAAGAGGAAACTGAAAAATAGTTACACAAAGAATAAAGAGAACCTCCCTGATTGTGGTTTAGCTTGTACAGGAAGTAAAATGTATTACCTTTATAGATAGATATTAGTATTTGTGCAGAGTTCTGAGCTCAGAAATAGGGTCTTCTGCACCATTTCATTCTGTAAGACTCACTATTTATGTAACTAAATTATGGGAAGTTCCATTTGAACAGAAAGAGAAACCTGGTTACATATGATGTTAAAACTATAGTTTTAACTATATAAATGACCTGGATAAACTACAGGCTTATATAACTATGAAAAAAATTTGGAAGCATCCACTTCCTGATTTAAATCAAACACAGTTTGCTATTGTATTTAAGCCCTAGTTAGCTTAATCTATTGCTTATTTAAACAAATTTCACTTTCCTATTTCCAATGTTCTGTTCCTCACAGCAGGCTAGATGGGATAAGCGTATGTAACCTAAAGTAAACCCAGATTAGCTATATTGTGGTAAATTATGCTGTAATATAATTTCCAAACAAAGCCACAATGTAACCAATAAATGAAAGGGATAAACCATAGGTTATTCAAAACAGAACACAGTGGCTTTAAATTAATTTCATCAAAATAAGTAATATGACTTGAATGACGCAAATACAAATTCTATATCTAGATGCACTTTCTTAGGAGTAAACCTGTTAAATGCAGTGAAACCTAGATACAAGAGATATTGTACAACTATTCTGTATAACACATAGAAAATTTGTTCAAAAACAGTTTAGATATAATTAAAATTAGGTATTATACACATATTAAAGACAATTTTATCCTCATCCTTAATGATGTTTTATATTTACTTCCTGCACAAATAAAATGTCAACTATATGTGAAAAATATTCTGAAATTAGCTATAAATAAATCAAGATTTTTTAAAAATCATGGCTAATATTACATGCTACAACAGTTTTGCATAAAATTGATGCATAAAAAGTAATAATCTATACTGTAAAATGCTCAAGGGGGACAAGCTATACTGTAAAATGCTCAAGGGGGACAAAGAACAGGTGTATCTGGTTTTATTAGAATTCTGAATATTATTCTATTAAAAACAACTTACTGTTTATATCTCACAGTAAAGGCTACTGAAGAAAATTATTATCAATGGGAAGTTTTCTTTTCCCAGAATGAAAGTGGGAAATGCAAGCACTCTTAAAAAATCTAATATATTGAGCTGATAGCTAAATCCTGCCTCAGTTACATATGTGTGCTTCACTGTGACATTATTTTAGCACACCAAGGAAGAATGTTACAACGATTTACTTTCATTAATCAAATGAGAAACAGGTAACTGGTTGCAAAGGGATTATTCAACTTTACTTACTGATTAGGGGTTCCAGGTGGAGAACGGGATGGTAAACTTTGAGTTTCTAACCTGTCATCAGACAATGAATTTCTGCTGACAACCTCCCAGTCCATCCCACTTATCAATTTGCGAGCCAAAGGTTTACTTGGGGATCTAAAACAAATTTACACAAAATTACGTAGAATGATGTATCTGAAACTATTGGAAATTGAAATTAAAAATAAATAAAACTAGCTTCCCTCTTTATAGGTACTGAAATGCAGTGCATGTTATTTGACCATTTCTTCCAAAAATATATACACAGATTCTCATGGGACTATTCACAAGAGAAAAATAATCAAATGCAATGAGAAGAAGGATGACTAAAGACAGAGCAAATTATCCATATGTGCTCTTTTTACAGTAATTCTGTATTGCTAAGAGCTGAGAACCATTTACAGTGCCACATATGGGGGGAGAAAAGCTTTTTGTGAAAGAAAGCATGTGTCTTTCTTTTCTTTCTTAACTCTAAATTAGTCCTCTATTACAATTACTTGCGTAATTTACAGCTACCTTCAAAGCAAACCACTTGCAAAGGAGAAGTCGAATTAACTTTACATTTATAGACAAAAAAATCCAGACTTTTAGAAGAATTCTATTTCAATGTTACAAGCAGTGCTGAAATTTGAGTTTCAGATGCAGTGAACAAATGTGACATAAAAAACAAAGACATGTGACACGTTTGCGCATTAAAAAAAACCTCCAGCTCTTAATAAAATTTAAGAATTTTTACTGGCTTAGCTGAACCATAGCTGAATATGACAACCAGTTTTTAAAAATCTAGCCATAAGGTAGCTGTGAAAGATACAAGTGATTACACATTTTTCAACAATTCATAGAAATTGATTTAAATGAAGTGTGATGCACAGATTTATCTAACATAATCATTAGAACATCAACTATATTTATTTATGCTTATGTACATTTCTAGCATCCATATGTTACTAGCTCAAATGTTATTGTTTTCTAAAAAAAAGTTGTTTCAAAAGTTTAAAAAACAATAAAACAACTACCATACTACTATACTACCATTTTTAAAGTGCTTTTAAGGACAACAGGGATAAGCACTGTTTTCTACAAAACTTGATCTGCTCATCCAAAATATAAGGAAAAAGAAAAATCTAAGGTAGCCTGGATAAAAATGTTATCAACTTTTTGCAGATTAAATGAGCATGCATTTTCTTTTTAGGAATGATGCAACTCTTTGGAAAACTCACCTTAATGATCAAACAGAAAGTTGCTTCAGTAACTTGTTAAGCCAGGCAAAAACACTGAACTGTCAAACTACATTTAGAACATTATTAAATGTTTGAAATTCACAGTCCCACCCACTCATGACTGTTACCAAAACTTCCTGTTCTTTGTGGAAATTTCAAAGAAACATTTGCCACATTACAACAGTATATCTTCTACTACCACCACTTTTTAGTTTCCTCTTCTAATATCTATGACCTTGAGAACATTTAGTGACTAAATTGCTTTATTTACTTGGATCATTTTTGCCAAACATAAAAAAAATCATTTGACAAAGAGGTATAAATCAGAAAGAGATGAAAATAATGGAAACATGGTTCAAAGTACAAGTAGTCACAGATGCTTTCAGATTATATTTTGCTATAAAAGGATACAATTTCCTTTACTTATAAATAAGAAGCAGAGAACACTTGGGTTGTATAATACAAGATTGTGTCATTATTCAGCTTACATTATCAAATATGCAAAATAAAATATTTTTAGGAAGCAAGTTCTTTTGAATTAAGTCAGTTGGTGTTTGCTCAAACACACAGTTTCGGGATTTGGGTAAAGATTAGTCTCTATTCTCTGCTGGCTTCTATCCTCAGAAATTTGCATGGGAAGGGACCTGCACGTATAGGGCTATGTAAATGCTCAGCTTTTTTTCATTATTATTGTATTTTGTCTCTCAGCTTCTGTTTTGTTGATTTGTAGTTGCTAAGTTGGCAGGGATTGGAAATCAAAGACAACGATGACATGTCTGACAAGACAACAATGCAATGCTCACTTTGTAAAGGTTAAGGTTTGGGCACAAAGAAAGGCTTCACTCTTCTTTAATGTAATCAAGACAACATTATTGAACCCTCAATATTTTTTGTGATCTTCCATAAAATAGATACAGTGATGCATTCTTCTAGTTTCTAGTCCTTCTTTTCATAAAGTATATCTTTGGCATCTGCAACACATCTTTTCCTCTGGAAAGTCCATTTATAAAGACATTTGTTTCTTTGTATTATAGCACGATAGACTTTTCTGGATTTCTAGAGTAAGTATATGGGTAATCCTTGATTTACAACCATTCAGTGACTGAAATCATGACAATATTGAAAAAAGTGACTTATACCCAGTTGTTGTACTCATGGCTGTTGCAGCATCCCTACAGTCACATGATCAAACTTTGGGTGCTTTGCAACTAGCAAATATTTATAAGGTTGCAACATCCTGGGATCACGGGATTGTCATTTGCGACCTTTCTAGATGGTTTCCGACAAACCAAGTCAATGGGGGAAGCCAGATTTACTTAATAACCACACAATTCACTTAATGACTGCAGTCTTCACTTAGCAACAGTGGCAGAGAAGTTGTAAAATTGAATGTGACTCACTTAATGACCACCTTACTTAGCAACAGAAGTTCTGGTCCCAATTGGGGTCCTTTCTAGGGATTATGATTACCAACTAGCTTTTGGAAACTTTAGGCTGGTTCTGGTTCCTTTTCTCTTCATCTGCTCTGCATGGTCTAGGAACGCTCCTCTCTGACACTGAGGATCCACTCACATGTGGGTTTTTTTCTTCATCCTGAGAGACTGAAAGCTTTTCACCCAGTTCCTCCTGCCTGATTTTCTCCTTCATTGCCAGAATACAACAAAGCCGCTCTCTGTTGCTCTCCTCCTTTTTCTCACTTTCTTCTAAGGTAATCTTCAATAACTTGATTATACTTTTGTTTTTGATTGCCTCTTCATATTTTTTCTGGGATAACACCTGAGATTGCTTTTCTGTTTTTGCTACTGGTAACCATAGAGGGATGCTTTACAATATAGTTAATGGTTTACAGTATAACTTTTAGTGTCCAGGGACTGCAAGTTTGAGAAACTGAGGCACATAATAGGCAAGTCCATATCAGTCCATTCCATTTTTCTTGTGGTTGAAGAGGTAGGATTTTTGACCCTGTTATTCAGATTTCAGTTATTGTTTCTATTGGTAGAAAATACTCAGAAATTACATTATTAATTTTGGGCAACGTATTAAAGATTTTTTTTTTAAATCCATCCTTTATTATTTTTATAAATAACTTAAGGTGGTGAACAGACCCAACATACCTTCCTCTTCCTATTTTCCCCACAACAACCACCCTGTGAGATGGGTTGAGCTGAGAGAGAGTGACTGGCCAAGGTCACCCAGCCAGCTTTTTATGCCTGAAGTGGGACTACGCATAGTCCCACAGTCTCCTGGTTTCCAAATACTAGACCAAACAGATCTAGGTAAGCAATGAAAAAATGCTCCACACTATCACCTTTGAACTATATTAGTTTCTGGGCAAGTCTATGGCCCAACAAGAATAATACCAGGAGTTGGGACATATTCTAGAGGAAAGTTAACTGAGCAAGCGGAGAAAATCGGTGTAAAGAATAAAACATCCCTTCATGGAATTCTGAATTTTTGCGGATCAGGATTTCCATCAGACCTTACTCATCAATGCTGAGAGCCAATGGAGTCTTGATCAGCTTCCATATTTCCCTGGAAAGTATGGCAACAAACCCAGCCTTGTTCCTGCTTCCAGGTGTCTAAAATTTTATATGTCAAGAGAACTGCTATGTAGGGTTATTATTGACTGGTTATACCCAATCCATTTTGAAAGTAAGGAGAAATCTAAATAAGAGGCTATACGAATATGTTTATCATACTACATGCAAGTCACTTTAAGTGGCTTACCTGGCAAACACCCTGTCCTTGTTTGCCCTTTCTTTGCCATATTGTACAGACTGGACCTCTGTTCTCCCACTGAAAGGGAAGTGTAATATTGAGATTGTAAAGAAAAATAAGTACTTTATTTGTCCAAAATTAAAAAAAAATAGCGTGACATTCCAAAATGAAGAGAAAAATTTGTAACAGTATTGCCAACAATAAACAAACAATGAGACCGCCTTCCTGTAATCCTACAAATAATTTTAATGTGTACGTCGGGGGTAGTCAACCTTGGCTCTTTTATGACTCGTGGACTTCAATTCCCAGAATTCCTGAGCCAGCTAAGCTGGCTCAGGAATTCTGGGAATTGAAGTCCACGAGTCATAAAAGAGCCAAGGTTGACTACCCCTGGTATACGTCATATCTGTAGGATTACTTTAGCTGTATTTGCATTTAGGGATGTCTGTCTGTCTGTCTTTAAAAGTGTCAGAGAACATCATCACTACAAATACAACTTCTACTGAGGTATTTCTAACTGGAAGATTCTGTAACCTGAACACTGCTTTAATGGTCTCCTTCCCATGATAATTACAGCCAGTCTTGGTCCTGCCTATTTCCCTCCTTGGTTTGACCACACAAAGTGGTCAATAAGTTTTCCAACTCATTTTAAACTGCAGCCTAATGCAGACTAAACCAGTCCTTTTTCAGAGGTGCTAGGTCTATGTAGCAACCTCCGTTTTCAAACAAAGTTCATGAGTCAGAAATGTGGTTGGGTGCAGCGAGGGTGACTAATCTGTGCACCGAGGACTGAAGGCTCCTGAAGTGTCCTTTTTGTAACCCAGGAGTCATGTGGATGGTAAAGCCTGCTGAAAGAGCAGTTTCCTGTCATATTATAGAAATATGAATACTGCAGGGTAAGCTAAAGTACACAAATCAGTTTAAAAAACAAAGATATCAACAAATCTTTCTCTTGCACTCAATCTCATCTATGCATATAATGTAATACTCCCCAAAATCTTATAATACTTGGCTACCAAATTTTTTTGCTCATATCTGGGCTATCAAATTAACAGCAGCAACTTTATAGTAAGTTTTCAATTGTAACATTTATTTTATTATTCTTACACCATCATATGAAATATAGATGCAACTTACCAGTACCGAAACTTCGACCCTAAAGTAAAATAATGTGCAAAAAAGTTCTTCTGAGGTGGCAGTGGTCTGTCCAACCGAAAAAAAGTGTGATGTTCTACACAAGCTTTCCATAAATTCTTACATGCTCGATAATTCACCATGTTGAATCCCAATAAAGTTTCTCTAGATTCATGCTAGAAAGAAAGTATATATATTTGTTTGTCAGTTCCAAAGGACTCTTATTTAAGTACTACAATGTATGTAAGATGGAGATAGCACAAGTATTATATAAATAGTATTGATTCACAACCCCATCCCCTAATACACACAATGTTAAATTGATAAAGTTTGGTACAGGATTCATTAGAGTGAACCAACATGAGGGTTTTGGCTTAGTGAGCACCAAAAAAGGTAAATAAAATCCACATTTTCCTTTCCATCCCTGTCAATCTATATAATTTCTCCGCCATGGGTGATATATTAGCTGCCAGCTGTTAATGCTCAGAAGCAATTATCAGCTTCCTATCAGCCTAAGCCAGTGCTTCTGCTTTCCTAATAGCTAGGAACCAGCTAGCAATAACAGAAACATTGTTAGATTAAAAGTGACAACATTCAGTAGGACAGGGACCAAAGATGCTGGAAGATGAAAGGCCAACCTGTCCAGGAGGAAAGCTTTGTGACTACAGTCACAGATTGATGATAGCAGATTGTAGCATTTTTTTTATCTTCCTCCCTCCAAAAGGAGGTTATCAACAATTTCAGAGAGCTCCTTATCAAGCTGCTAGTATAAGCTAGACATGTATGGCCTTTTTCAATCTCCCTCTGGCTCTATGCACAAAGAATAATTTCAGCCAGATTTACTATATTAACAATAATTTAGCCTACTATTAGACAATTACAAAATTAATGTATTTTTATATTTTAATCAGGTACGCTCTACAGAGAACATTTTCAAAATAAAATATAATCTAGTATGAAATATATTAATTAGAAATATCAATACTCACTAATTCTTTTCTAAGTTGAATGAAAAACTGTTTGCACTTAAAAGAAATTTTTATGATCTTCAACCTAATGAAATAAAAAAAATCACAATAAGATAATCATTTCTTCAGATGTATTAATTGGACAAGGATGGTCACTATATTCAACATTCACAAGACAAATATCCATCATTTCATTTACCTGTCTAAATCTGTTCCAACCTAAATTTTATCACTGTAACATTATACCTCAAAGAAGACTATTATCAGCAAAAGTGTCTTTTCTTATATTTATTTATTCAATTTATATGGGCTGCCTATCTCTTAATTATGTTTATCAAGCTATAAATTATTTTTACATACAAAAGCTATGAATGCAGGAAATAATTCAGGAAACTGAAAACCTATAGATTCCTACTATGAATGGCTCATTATTGTCACTGGAAAATACCATACTAATGCATGAAAAATAGGAGAACAAAAATCATTTAAACTTATCTTAATCATGAGTAAGGAAACATTTTTAAAAAGTGACATAATCTCTAATACTATATAGATCTATATTGGCTTGATAACCGGAGTAGATAATTAAGTAAACAAGTGGACGGTATGGTCATCCTAGCCCGGCTTGGCAGCTTTCAATACCATCAATCAAGATATCCTTCTAATCTAGGGGTGTCAAACTGGGGCCGGTTGCATCATATGGAGGCCACGCCCACCCCAACTCTGGCAATGCACAAAAACTCACGATACGCCGCGACACGTCACATGATGCGACAAGTTTGACACCCGTGTTCTAACCCAGCTGAGAGGGTTGGGAGTGGGAGGCATTGTTCATCAGTGGTTCTTCTCCTTCCTCCAAGGTCAATTCTATTTGGTGTTGGGGGGGGGATAGTGAGGGGAGAAGTCCAGTTCTAGGCCTTTGGTCTGTCAAGTGCAGCAGGGTTCAACTCCCTATTTCTATTTAACATTTACATGAAACTTCTGGGTGAGGTCATTTGTTGGTATAGAGTTAAGTATCATTAGTGTATATCTTTGCCTTGGGCCACCCAAGTGATGTTATCAAGGTGCCTCCCCAATGCCTGGAGGCTGTATTGGCCTGTATGGGAAAGAATTAGCTTCAGCTCAACCCTAATGAGACTAACTGACTGTTGGTTTTACGATCCCTCATATCTGATGATCTGACATCTTTAACTTTGGTTGAGGCGATATTCCTCCAGTCAGAGGTAGTTGCCATCTGGAGGTTCTCCAGGAATCTTGGCTCCTGCTCAAAGGGAAAAAATAGATCTGGTGTGCCCATCTGCATCCTATCAGTCTTCTCAGGTAGACTGGACAGGAAACATAGCCAGATGTACTAGTTCTACTTTATTGCAAGACTATATTAATAGAATCTTGCAAGTCTGAGAGTACAAATCTCCTGTTCTTTCCTTTACAGCATGAGAAGCTAGGGAGGCTTACTTCTGAGCCTCTTTCTCGGCCCAGCTGCGGGCTATACCTATTCTTATCTCTTTCCTGGGCAGCATTTCTTCATTCTGTCTCTCAAGGTTTTTCTCACATACCATTACAGTGATTCCCTAGATCAGTGATGGCGAACCTTTTAGAGACTGAGTGCCCAAACTGCAACCCAAAACCCACTTATGCATCGTCAGGTGCCGGGTGGCACATTGGGTGGGCGTGGTGGTGGTGGTGGTAACAGCAGACTGGGTAGGACTAAAAAGTTCAATCAATCAATTCCAACTTTGCAAGATCTTTTTTTTCCCGCCGAGATTGAAATTGACTGATTGATTGAACCTTTTTTTTGTACATGGCGGCAGAGGCCTAAAGCGAAAAGGTTTTATAAAACCCAGCTGAAGGCCTAGGACTGGGGCGACGGCGCGTGTGCCCACAGAGAGGGCTCTGAGTGCCGCCTCTGGCACCTGTGCCATAGGTTTGCCACCACTGCCCTAGATCAAAAGGCACTGCTGACAACCACACATACCTTACTTATTGCAACGTGCTTTGCATGAGTTTGTCTTTGAAGAACATTTGGAAACTGCAATTGGTCAGGAAGGCATAATACTGAATGCTGACTCTTAGAGTTGATTAAAAATTAGTCCAACATGTTTTATCCCCCCAAAATTTAACCTATAAATACTGCAGTATGTAGTATTCTGAGGCATTTTTTTTTACAATTCTTAGTATACAAAAAGGTGACCAACTTATACTTAAAAGATGTATACTTAAAAATGAAAGCTATCACTGTAGCATTGGTGGCCCTTTTTAACAACTACTCATCCAGCGAACGTTTGAATGCCATCTACACTAATGAATCCTAGTTTTGATCAGTCCTCACAGTTACAGCCACTGCAGTGCCCTGCAGTTATTTAATTGCAACTGGTAACTTTTCCTGCTGGCTTCCGAAGAATGAAATTAAGAGGGAAGCCGGCAGGATGCTGACAAGTTGAGGTCACAAAAAGACCTTGCTTAACTTACTTATGACCATGCCCCTTAATGATGGAGTTTCCAGTCCTAATTAATGTCATTCAGTAAAGAATACCTGTACATAGGAAATAATAACACTTTAAAAACATATCCTTACCATGGAAAGGTATTAATTCGTACCCTGTTCTTATAAATTAGTATGCCTCCTGACATTACTCCAATCATAATTTCATTATTACTTTGATCCTATAAAAAGAACAGGAAAATTATGAATACTTATTTTCTCTTTTCTTACAACTTTTATCATTTGTAAAGAAGCAATAACTCTTCCTTGATGAGCCTCTAATGTCAATTCGCATTAAGGGAAAAACATTTTTTGACTTAATATCATATTCCGGCTCTTCTGCGTTCCCCATACTCTCACTATCAACCAATGTCCTAAACTTCTCCTATATAGAACTATTCTATATTTAAATACAGCTGATCTTAAGGAACTACCTTTTGGAATAAAATTAGAATCATCACAAAACTTGAAATAATATAGTAACCTGCTATGTTATGAAAATGCCTGTGTAAGAGGCTCTAGTGTTGGCAATGACAAGTGCGATGTTGCTGGGCTGGGACCGCTGAGGCCCCCAGGGATGGCTGTGGCTTTGCACTGTACTGCAGTACCCTCACAACTCACACATAGACTGCGCCATGAGTCACAGAACCTCCCCCCTTGAAACACCCCGGCACTGGGACTTGGGACTCTGTCCATTAATGACCATGAGATAGTTCAATGATTGGGAATGCTGGAATTGCGGTCACTTAGCAAGGACAGGTAATGTCTTGCTTAACAACCACTTCACTCAACGACCAAGATTCTGTTCCCAACTGTGGTCATAAGTCGAGAACTAGTTGTAATATAACTGAACATTTTGATTAAGCATGGCCGTCTTTAAATGTCCTGAAGCAGATATCATCACAACATTATGCTATGTATAAAACAGGGAGTGGTTGCTAGCCTTCTTCCAAAACTAGTTCTCCCTCTTTTCTGGGCTTAAGGAAAGTTCAATATTTAATTGATTAACCAGCAAATATATTAAATTAATTCTTATAACTAAGTTAATTATAAAGTGCAATCTTCCATTTCTGATTAAAAAAATAAGTGGAACGCCAAACAAATGTGCTTGATTCTATCATGAACTCTGAACTATAAGATCACATGCATTTCCTGATTCTCTAAGCTCTTTATTACTGTAGGTAAGAATTGCATCTATGAAAGAGGGCAAAGTTTATGATACCTTAATCTTAAAGGCAGCCACTTATTGTTTGTGATAAGACTTCAGAAGCTGATACTCGCTTCTTATATTCCATGTCAATGTATTTATTTATACACTTCAGTGGAATGGGGTGAAAGATTGTTAACTGTTATAGTTGAGATTGTGAATATATATGTATTCAAATACAATGAAGGCTCAGCAGATGCATGATTTCTTCTCCTTTATTGGGCTAAAATGTATGTGGATGTGTCAGCAATGGATTGTATGCTCAGCTGAACACCTTGATTCTCTGAGTCTAAGCTCTTTATTACTATAGATAAGATAAGAATAATAAGAAAAGATGAGAAGATGGAGGAACCAGACTAATCAAATGCAGAGAAGAGGAAGAGAGGAAACAATTCAAACCTTAGCACTCAACAGCTACTACTTATTTGCTACTACAAACTTTCCTTTTTTAATTTTAATAAGTTATGATTTTAATTATAAGGTGCCCCATGAAAATTAAGAGAATCAATACATTGCTTTCCATCAATACATTTTTAAGCAGACCATGTGAAAAAAAAACTTTGAATACAATTTAGAAGCAGTTAATATTTACTCATATGTAAAGGTGGACAAAATTGCAGCCTTTTAAAATACTAACTACTTTACAAGCCAGGTTTGTGGTTAAATTTTTTTTTATTAAAAGCATTAAGTAAATGGGTTATGTAAAACAAAACATACTGTAAGTGGATTAAATTATGAATATATCACTTTATACACTTTAATTCACGCTCAGTTACTCTGAATACTTAAATATATTTAAAACTGATAATTCATACAAAACAAGTTTACAGATGATATCCATTTAAACAGTAGCAATTAATTCCAACCTACCCTTGCATAGTGCAGTTCAACTCCATAGAGTTCTAAGGTTCGGGCAGTACTGAGATAACTAAACTCTGCTTCAGCTGGAGACAAACCTCTATATGGAGGCAAAAACAGGCAAACTTTAAATTCTTTTAAAATGCTTGTAAAATCTAAGTCCTTGCCTAAAAACAAAACTTTCTGCATAAAATGTGGTATTTCAAAAAGGGGGAACAATGTTAATAATATATTACATATTATTTTTATTTAATAAATTATTTTCCGATTAAATAGTTTTATATTGAAGCTCTGTAGATGCCAGAAGAATGTACTTTCAGTATTACACAGAAATCATTGATTGAAAAAGTGTAGTTTTGCATACCTTATTTAATAGACCCTATTAGTAGGAACTCAACATAAATATAGTGTCAAAAAAGGACAAGGGTGTGCTTTTTCACAATGTCTCATGTTTATGGGACTGCAATTATGTTTGCTTTAAATGTTTTATTTCTTCATAAGAAGTGAATAAACACACCATGGAAAAAGGTAGGTTATAATTCAGACATAATAGTTCTGCTATAATAGTTCTGTCATGTCATTTTTTGATTATAATTTTATATTTTTTTGTCATGCTTACATATGTTGCTGATGTAGTTTGGATATTTCTTTTTCGAAGTCTTGATGCTGGCCAGGGATGAAAGAGTAATCTGAGAGGTAGCCTGGGAAGTTATCCGTAAGGTTGTAGTCTCCCAGCTCAGCTGAAAGTTAAAATAAGCTATTTATATAACAGCAGCCCTGTTTCACAACTTGCAGAACAAACAAGAGATATGCAAATAAAAATAGATGTGAAGTTATCTCTTCACATCTTTGCACAAATGAATCAACTTGAATGTAATCCTGTAAAGACGAATATACATGAATCAATTTTTGAATATTAGTGCCAGAAAGATTTCAACCATCTGGTGCAAGTTTGCTTGAAAACAAGTCCTATGAATTCCATGACTAGCCCTCAATTTTTTTTCATTGAATCACAGATATAATTCAATTGAATTATTTGATATTCTAGTACCATTCCTCTAATGTTAAATATTTGATGATAGTACAGGTAGTCCTCGATTTACAACAGTTCATTTAGTGACTATTCGAAGTTAGAACAGACTGAAAAAAGTGACTTATGACCAGTCTTTACACTTATGACTGTTTGCAGCATCCCTATGGTCATGTGATCAAAATTCACACGCTTGGCGACTCATATTTATGACGTTGTAGTCTCTCGGGGTCTTGTGATGACCTTTTGCAACCTTCTGAAGAGTAAACTCAATGGGGAAGCCAAATTCACTTAACAACCGTGTTACTAACTTAACAACTGCAGTGATTCACTTAACAACGGTGGCCAGGAAGGTCGTAAAATGGGGTAAAATCCACTTCTTAACAACTGTTTTGCTTACCTACAGATGTTTTGGGCTGAATTGTGGTCGTAAACTGAGAACTACCTGTATTTCTATAAGTAACACTGAACATTATTAAGTATTTTTGGAAAAAATATAGTTATATGCATAGTCAACCCTAGTAATATAAACAAAATTGCATTGTAGGCGCCCCTGGAACCTTTTCTTTGAACAACACCCAATTTCAAAGAGATAAGCTACAAATCTACTTGCCTCCCTGGGAGTGGCAGTTACTACAAATAAAATTTCAAACAAATGTTCAATTGCATACAATGTTCCTGAACTGTTTTATAAATAACTACATAATGTATGTCTAAGTGCCTTTCTGTTGTACTAGTGTAATGATGGTAAACCTTTTGGGCTTGGCATGTCAAAAATTCAAAAAAATGCTCAACTTGACTATACTGGCAGGTTAACACCCCCACCCCAAACAAATGAGAAACAATTCTCTATCGTCCACCCTCCATCTAGGCCACCCTGAACAATGTTCTAGATGTGTTAAGAACTGAGCTGGGCCTTAGGTAGAGGCCAGGCTTTGATTTCAGCCCTAAAGTCATTGCTGCCACTCAAAAAGGCTGCTTCGTACCATTCCCCCAAGGCGCACAAGCCTCGAGGAATGAAATATTTGTCCCTGAAGTCAATGCTACCCAGGATCTGCCACATGCCTCTTACCTGCAAGCAATGTTCTCTTTCTAGTTTGCAGGACCCTGTGGCCTACCCAGGGCTGCTCTGGGTTACACAAGGCCTTTGCTCTTGAAGCAGCTTCAGAGAAAGCTCTTCCACAGCCTCTGCAGGCTTCAAAAACTGTGTGACAGCACACCCTGTTCTTGTGCAACTTCCAGAGGCTA